ACACTACTCAGAACAAAATCAACCATATTTGTATCAACAAAACGTTCAGAAGGACCAAGAGAACCAAGAGCCTCAGATCACCACTTGCTTGTCGCCAAAATGAAACTGAAACTAAAGAAGCACTGAATAATGGAGCAGACAACATCACACAAGTTTAATACGGCCTTTCTCCAGGATACCGTAAAACTCAATGGATTCAAGATAGCCATCAGCAATAAGTTCCAGGCCTTGCAGGGTCTACTCAATGGAGAGGAAACCACCTTGGAGAACGATTGGAAAGTGATCAAGGAGGCAATCACTTCAACATGTCACGAATTTCTGGGTCACAAGAAGCACCATCACAATGATTGGACCTCTGTTAGTATTCTTGAAAATGTAGAAGAAAGTAGGAACAAGAGGGCAGCAATCAATGTCAGCCGAAAAAGAGCAGACAAAGTTAAGGCACAAGCTGAATACACAGAAGCAAACAGGAAAGTGAAGAAGAGCATCAGAGCTGACAAACGAAAATGTGTGGAAGATCTAGCAATGACAGCGGAAAAGGCTGCAAGAGAAGGAAACTTGAGACAATTGTACGAAACTACAAAGAGGCTGGCCGGAAAGTATCATGAAGCAGAACGACCAGTGAAAGGCAAAGAAGGCAAAGTAATCAGCAACACTGAAGAACAGCGAAATAGGTGGGTAGAGCACTTTAAGGAACTGTTGAATCGACCAGCTCCACTGAACTCACCCATCGTCGAAGCAGCATGCACTGACAACCCAATCGACGTTGGTCCACCAGCAATCGAACAGATCGCCATGGCCATCAGACAAATCAAGAGTGGCAGAGCAGCAGGACCAGACAACATTCTTAGAAGAGGTAATGAAAGCAGACGTGGAAGCAACTGCGAAAATATTTCATATTCTCTTCAACAAGTACCATCAGATTAGAAAGAAGGATACCTGATCAAAATACCAAAGAAAGGCGATCTCAGCAAGTTTGAGAACTATGGAGGCATCACTCTTCTTTCATTACCAGGCAAAGTCTTCAACAGGGTATTGTTAAACAGAATGAAGGACTTTGTAGACGCCCAACTTCGAGATCAACAGGCTGGATTTCATAAGCATCGATCGTGTACTGACTAAATTGCAACATTACGAATCATTGTGGAACAATCAATAGAATGGAATTCACCACTCCTAGATATCAATGTCACGTGCTTCAATGTTATTTCTTATTGATTGTCCTAACTATCAATGTCACTTCAAATGTTGCTTCCTATTGGTCGTCTTAACTGTCAATGTCACAGACTTCGATACCCTTTCCTATTCGACCTAAATGTATAAATACGCATTATCTGTAAAGCTTTTGACTCCGTTCTTTCCTGCCTCCCTCTCTTTTGTACTCGACCCATTAAACAACTTCATCTAAAGGTGTTGCATTCTGATGTATAGGAGATTTGAAAACAGTATTTGGGTCGTATTAGAATATCTGAATTTGGACGTCGCTAGGACTGAATAGCTACGTAGCAGCATTATAACAGATATAAAATTATAATTTATTATTCATTAACAACATGCGTTACTTTGCTATATAGTTTAACATACATAAGTCAGAGTTGTTAGGTTTGCTTGTAACCTGGAGCTAGTTGGGAAGGTTAATTCCGACAAGGTGTACAGAAGTAAAGGTAAGACTTAAACATTGTTAGAAACCTGCCTGTCAACAGTAGAGGGCTTAACATTTCGTTTGCTTACAACTCACTAAGATATAGCAGAGTATAACTAATCAGTGACATTGATGTTACTTTTCCATGTTAACAACATTTGCGACTCATGTTTGTGACTTTGAAATGGTTTCACTTCCTACTTAAAAATCCTATTGCAAGCAGATTCGGGCAGTTATGGTGAAAAAGAGCTCACTTGTGACTTCTTGGGATAAAGTTTTAAAAAACAATAAATGAAATATCACCAAAGCACCGGATCACTGTGTCCTCGGCATTATTTCTAACGATTTAGTTCTTTTGAATTTCCTCTGTTCATAAGATTATTTGCCCATTCGTTATCTTCCTAGTGAATATTTTCCATTAATTTTCGTTAGTTCAGGTGTACAGTCAGGGTTAGAATACAAAATAGGATGATCTGAGTAATCATATATTTACACATTTTTGAAACCATGAATCGATCAATGTTAGACCACCATTAGAAACCTGGAAGCACTGGACGGCCGTTTCGTCCTGGTATGGGACTCCTCAGCAGTGCGCATCCACGACTCCTGCACCCTGCAGGATTCGAACCCAGGACCTTCGGTATTGTGCGCGAACGCCCTAACCGATAGACCACTGAGCCGGTATCTAACGGTGTTAATGTCTAACTTGATCATATTCACGGAGTTGCGCAACCTCATACACAGTCTTCGGTAGTTACTGTCTACACCCGAACAGGTTGAACTTCACTGGTCACGTCTTCTAACGGTGGTCTAACATTGATCGATTCATGGTTTCAAAAATGTGTAACTTAACAATCTTCACAACCCCGTAATGCAAATCATATATTTGTTTAATCCAAAAATACTGTCTGCTGAGTCATGACTCAGCTTTAAACAAGAATATCTTCTGTTTCGCACCTCGCACATCACTCTTTAATTCTCTTTTTCAGCACATCATCATACTGTCTATATATTAACCTTGGTGATTGCTGAAGACTTGGTAACTTGACCCAGAAACCTGTAAATTTATCATCTGGCGAATCTCGACACATTTACTTCATCAATTCTTGTTACAGGTAGAGCAGCGTTTACTTGATATTGCTTCTTAACCAGCAGTGGTCGGTGATCTAAACATTTTGATCGTACACGTAAATTGGTATGCCTCTTGAAACATGAGGTTATTTGAGAATAATTAATGGTTATTTATTGTTCTTTTGAGAACAGAAAATATGATTATTACTCTCGACCTGCAGACATTCTGTTTCCGTAGTTACGAAGCATAGTATGGAAAGCAGTCATTGCAAACCAAATAATATGTTCTTATTTAGGTAATATTATCAGTTCAACCTCTAGCGGATTCATACTGACAATTTTTAGATACGAAGTCATTACATAATATCTACACCGTATCTGTTGTTGCTCAGATTACCGGTGTGCTCTGAAAAAAAAAATTTGAGTGAAACTGAACATTTATTACTTGTAACTGCATATCTTGTTTTCGAATATGTTTACCCTATGAACGCAGTAAAGTAATTCGTCTAGTTTAATTGATTTTATTAATTTACTTCTTTGAAGTTGGTTCTTTGTTTCAAGGGGCTCATAAGCAATGATTGATTCTTGTTGTATGAACTAATTTTATTACACTACACATATGTATTTCTAATCATTTTCGCATTTATGAGTATCGATTTCTATGATAATTTTGATTCATCTGTTAGCAGCTGATAATAAGCTAGTGAAATATACTGACTTCAAAAATTTTGCACCAATCTTTGTAATTGCTCGCCTCAAGAGAAGAAAAAGAAATACACACTGGATACTACCTTGTTTTAACTGTCGAATGACTCAAAAGGTAGGTTAATGTACACCTAATTGTAGAAACTTTTTTGAATGTTTTGTTTTTTGGAAAATCCCTCCATGTATATATATTTGTGTTATAATATGACTGACTCTTTCTGTTGACATTTTGGTACTCCATTTGATTCCATTTTGAGATCTTACCATTGTATATTGTTATTATTTCTATATTTCTATTTTCAACAGTGCCGTGTGCTATCACGTAGCATTAGTTTTCATACCACTGCGGTATCTAGTACGTCCCAGCTACATCGTCTGTTAAACCCCAGTGCCACCAAGTCCCCGATTCCGCTAAATTTGAACTTCGAAGATCGGAATTATATAACTGGAAAGTTTCATGCCTATTGCGGTGCAAGCAATGACCTCTGCATGCACATCAGATATTATGACAGCCGATTTAGGTAGACATGTCAATAACGGAAGAGCCAAGTTAGAAAGACCTAATTGTTGGCTAACCTGAATTAGAAACCTATGGCACAGAACACCAAGATCATAGTTGTACAGCCGTGATACTCTGTGAAGGCAAAAATCTACTGTATCTTATCCCTAAATAAATCGGTACTTCACTTCAAGCAGATATTTGTTAAAAACCGAGGGTGGTGAGGAAAATCAATGGGTGTCTTAATAGTAGCGTAAGTGGACAACAGTGTAAACTGAGAGGGATCATGAATATATGTTTTCAATCAGACTAGAAGATAATTGGCCCGACTACAACACTGTTCTCTCGCAGCAATGTGTGCGGCTAAGGGGGCATTTAAAGAGTGATACTATTCCAACGTGATGGGGGGAATCCACTTTGTTTGCATCCCTAACTCTGCATTTATTCTGGCCCTTATTTTTTCTCTTCCACATTCTAGTCCTCCATATTAGATCCGGCCAACCAGCCCCTTAACAGGTTTCCGAATGCCGGTAGTGCTATAAAACACACTTCTCTAGAACAAACACAGTCATTTATACTCAAGAAATGTAAACCAGCAATTAGCCATCACATTAAAAAGGATTAGTGCGGCTGAGAGGCTATTACTTCTATTGAACGAAATTAAAGAACTAGAACTATATAATTAAATCATAAGGTAAGCACAAAAGAAATATTCGGTTGATAAAAAAATTAGAAATATCAGATTATCCTTATTACCCTTATTACTCTCCACATTGCAACTAACTGATCTCCGGTTTGGTAATTTGACGGCTGCTAGTATCCAGAAACCCTACTGCCCTGAAACAAACGTTTCATTCAAATCCCGAGACATACAAACTCACAACCAACTGACTAGAATTAGAAAGTCGAGTGGCTAGACCTGCATCCATTGGAAATTACCGAACACCTGGAACCGTACCGAAAGAACAAGAATCGAGCGCGAAGAAACCAAATTGGTTTACACTAGCTCGTGAAAAAGATATTGGATATTGGATCATGTTTGTTTAAGTGACTGACAGTAATAAATAGTCATAACAACCACTACGAAGGAATATGGTTTAGGGTTTTTTAGTATTTCGTTATGGCGAAAAGACGAAAGAGGAGCAGTAAAAGTACCAGTTCATCCAAAAAGAAGGAAGTATCTCCATATATTGCTTCCGAGGTCTCACTGGATCCTCAAATTTATGAAACACAGCTAAGGACACTGAAACACAAAATAAAAGCGTAATCTATTCCTAATTTTAGAAAAGCGATTAGTTATCAGTATGTGATTGATAGTTTCAAAGACCACATTCTTCAAAATACGTTTAAAGTCCAAAATAATGAATCAGATAGCAAGGAACTTACCACATATTTACAAAACTGTATTCAAAATAAAGGTTTAGTATACACACATTCTCTTCGAACTGTACGATTTAGATAGAGATATCGACGGTTTGAAACAAGCCCTTAGTACCCTACATGAAAGAATGGGTGAAAAGTATCAGGAACACAACAAAATTGTGGTCAGTCTGAGACTCGAAATTGAGGCAATCGAAGAAAAGTTAAACTCAGAGAAGGCAGTTTTGAGTATGTGTTCTTCGTACATTATAATTTTTGTCTGTGTAGCTGGAAAAGTTGAGTCTCTCGAAAATTTTAGTGTTGAGAGAGCCGAGCTACATAAAAAAACAACAGAAATAGAAAATTTAATTGAAGAGACCTTTAAGCTTAATAAATCCCAGTATCATGAAAAAGACTTGGAACTGACAGTTTGTCAAGACCAGTAAGTCCTGATTGATTTAAATAATATCCAAGCTGCCCATTATTGAACTATCGTAGTTTTAAATTTCCATGACAATTTCTTCATCATACTGTTTGTGCAGGTTAGCTAAATTCAAAATTACTGAACTCCCTCATCACCCATTCAACATGAGGCACGTTAAGTCACTAGGGTGATATCTCTAAATAAAGGTCTTCAAGAGGCTCAATCCTATTGTCCGAGAAGCATTATTTCACTATACATTATGAACTTCTTTATGGGAGGCATTCTGGTATCTGATGAAGAAAGTAATTTTATCTCACTAAATCTTTATGGATAAAGGTTTGAAGCGTGGTAAGGTCTTTAGGGAAAGATTTGATGAGCCTCAAGCTATTTTTGTGCTTACTTGTGATATGGATTGCAAACTACCTCTAAAGGTATTTGGACGATTGATAGAAGCCTCATAAATTGATGCGTTATCCCGATATAGATGTTTACACAATATAGGTTTTATTTGAGATGACTGAAGACTAATCGTTTTTAATACAAATGTACGCGGTTATGTTACGTAATCTAAGAAAGTCGTAAAAAATGGTGATTTAAGAGGTCAGGTTAATAAAATTGCTATACAAATAACATCTATAAATTCCTGGAAGCTATTCCAAAGTAGATCAAGAGCATCATTGTTAGCAGTTGCAAATATGCCTTATTCGTTTCTGTAGATCGAGCTTTAGACAAACTAGAAATATGTTTCCCCTACTAATTCTAACCTATATAAAACCAATGACCACTTAACACATATCTATATAGAGGAGTTATGACAGGACACCAGTGATAGCGGAAACCGAAGCACGCATCGATTTCCAGTGTAAACGATCTCCCTCAATTGTTGTTGGACCTAATCGAATGTTAGTGGAACGATGTAACCTCCTAGTTTACGTCAAGCTCACGCCACGAGTTTAATGCTGAATCTTTATTATGCCATCGTATTAACTAGGTGACTGGCTAGAATAAATACTCCCATCAGGCAAGAAAAAATATAAGTATCAAAATATTACAGAAGTAAAAGGTGTAACCACTGTTGCATGCGCCTGATTACGGCATGAAATTTATTTTAGGAGCTTGTTTATTGCTATACATGGTTAAAGTCCTGATTTCCATCCAGCTACAGTGTTGAATTTTGGGTACGAAACTAGCTGCTATTTTATGGTAGTTTTCTGATAAGATATTCTGGGAGATTAAATTAGACTAGGTGATCGTTTATTGTATCACCAACAAAGGATACTGTTGTTTAGTTGGTTGAAATTTATTTTACCAACTAAGTATTCTTCCTGCTACTTTTGTATACATACTTCAAATATAAATTAAACTCTCATTTAAGCATTAAGAGAACGCAATTTAGCACACGGATCCCCTTTTGACTGATTTATCGATAGGCTGCAAAACTGTCTATCTGTGAAATTTTGAGCCTTAATTGTCTGAAAGAATATGAATGATGGAAAAATACCAGAATGCGGGAGAATGATTTTAAGACAGATTCTTGTTGCAATCAGTAACGCTAAAAAATTATGTACCTTCTGCTAGACTTACAAAAATGATAGATATCTATTGATTTCATAGAACTTAATAGGCTAAAGTGACTGAATTTCTCACAATAATAAGAGCAGACTCGAGCAAGCCAGGATAGTTTCAGACCTGGTTGTGTCTGTATGGACCAAATAATAACTCTTCGTCAGTTCCCTGAAGATAGACATATTTCGACGTCCAAATATAACTATATTGTTTTACAAGCTCTCTACTTAAACACCTTTAGTCGATTGAGAGCTTATGGCAAACTGTCATCGGAATTCTCTACTTCAAGTGGTGTCCGTCAGGGATGTCCACTCTCTCTATTCTTGTTTAACTTTTTCACAGACATGCTTTAATAAATAATATTATCTTTGTCTAACTTTTCAGGGGTGGAACTTCTACCAGGAAAATCGCTTGTTGACTTATAATATAACGATGATATAGTTCTGTTTGGTAAAGACGCTGAAAAAGGAAGTCTTCTGACTACCCTAAGCTACAATTCAAGCATGTCCAAGATGCGGTTCTGTCCTTCGAAATGTAAAATTTTGCTTCATGTTTGGCTCGCATAGGTACCTGAACTAGTCATAGGGAGCGAAGCAGTTAAGCGTGTTGACCACTTCACTTATCTTGAGGGTCTCATCAGTGCTAACGGTCCGGTGTGTAACAAAATCTCAGCACGAATACAGAAAGCTCGATTGGCCTTTGCCAACGTGCGTTACTTATGGCGTAGGCGAGATATCCGTTTGTTGACTAAAGGACGAGTGTACTGCGCAGTAGTTCACTCCGTCCTACTTTATAGCTATGGAACATGGCCAGTGAGAGTAGAAGATATTCGTAGGTTACTGGTTTTCGATCATAGGTGTCTCCGAAGCATTGCTCGAGTTCCGTGGGTCAAACGAGTGAGCCATGCTGTTGTTAATAAACGGGTACTAGTTAGGGATGGCAGGTCAATAGATGAAGAATTAAAATTCATCAGTTGAGGTGGTTGGGACATGTGTTACGTATGCCTAACCACCGATTGCATCGACCAGCTCTGTTTTGTAGTGTAGGAATAGGTTGTAAGAAAGTTAGGGGCGGCCAAACCAAAACATGGTACAAATCCATGAAGTCACTGAGTCATGTTGGTGGATGTAGGCTACCTGGTTGGGGTCCGCGAGACAAAAGTAACCGACGGTTGGAGACCTTGAATGACCTGGCTGAAAACCGTTTTCAGTGAAGAAGGTGCATCCAGTATTTGGGTCCTCTCAACTCATGACTTTCTGAATTCGCCACGACTCTTCTTTTGATTGATTTTTTTGAGGTATACATCTCGAATGATATATTTGATCATTAGTCCTTTTGATTACTGCTGAAACCTCTACTACTTTCGGGTTCGAATCAACAATTGTCTCTGTGTTCATGTGGTAAGGCAACCTGAATTGATGTACGTACGTATGAAGTTCTACGTTGTAACTGATTGACTGATGCGTTAATAGAAAGCTTATGGTAAGAGCTGTACATATGCCGGATAGTTAAGTTAATCAGTAATCATACGATTAGATTATGTATATTATTAGTCCATTAATTGGTTGCCGAAGTTCTTATTACTTCAATCTTCATCAAGATATAACAACGTTATACTTAATTAACTGTCTGAGACCTCATTAATTAATTAACTAACGAATTGAACTAGTCTCCGCCATTCTCCTTTTTTTCAACCAATGAGGATTATTTCATTTCACCAACCCGCCTGTTATAACAATGTAGTGATCCGAAATGAATAATATTTCATAATTATCTTATCCGAACAAAACTCACTACATTATGTCTATAAGATGCAACTCAGTATCCCTCAGACGATGTTTTGAGTTTTTCCGTAGATTGGATTTGTGATCATCAAGAGTATTTGCATTTCGTACACGAAGTAGTAACACTCAGGAATGTCCAATTCGTATTCCAGTAGTCAAGCATAGTCAGTACTGAACTCAGGAAGAACTATGTAGGCAAAAGAGAAAGTGCTGTGTTTTGAATTAAGCGCGGAATCACCTACAAAAGAATCATTGTTGTACACATCCATCACAAGATTTCATGAATGCGGTATATGGATTATCCAAAATTTCGTTTTAGCTTTTATCATTTTATTTACATTTTAACAGAATTAAGTCTAAATAACAGTTTATTACAAATCCGATTCTTGGTTAACACTAAAATCTTATTACATTAAATTACAGACTATTCAAGGAGATGTTAAGCAGAGTTTCACATTTGGCCGATGAATTTCGAATTGGCACAGAGAAACGAGTTAATAGAACAGAACGTAGAACACTAGAATACAATTGCCAGCTTAATGAAAAATTAGCAAATCTAAGCAGTAAAATATCACATATTATGGGTAAAAATAAATCCTATAAACAGGCTACAAAAAAACTGAAGCATGATGTAAATGTACTGCAAGATATTAGAAATCAAATGCATAAGAACTGGTCAGATCAACTCAAAGTAAGCAAGCTTTACAGTTTTTGAACCGGTGGAATTTTCGTCTAACAATTGTTTATTTTTAAACATTGGCCCAAAATTTACTTTCGACTTTATGCACAGAAATTTAAGTAGTCTTCATTTATGAAATCGGAAACGGTATCTCACAGTTTATTGTTTAATCGAGGACGTTTATGTGAAAAGATTTACCGATAATTATCTCTTGTTCTATCAAAGGAAACCAATTAAGGGGAAACTGTTAGACATTTGTATACGTCTCCGAAAGACAGACATGTGGAAAATATTTCTACAGATCATTCCGAGTAGGCGTATTCACTGCCCTATTCCACAGAAGTTAATAGTAAGATGTTTTCTGAAACCTTTCTTAAAATGTCCCTTTCCGTACATATTACTTCTTGTTTTTGAATTAATATTACGTCCAGTTATTACTTTCAACATTTAAAAGTCATTTTTGACCTGAGAGACACAATAGCGGTGTGAATAGATGTGTTTACTTCGAATTCATTTACCCATTTCGCTATTTAGACGCTGGTATTTTATTTACTGACCGATTTTCCTATTAAATTTAAAATGTTTCTTCGAAGTTCTTCGAAGCATTTCCCATCTCCTTTACGTCTCTTCTGCAGACTTTAAAAAGTTCAATATCCAATTGTTTAGAAAAAGAAGAAAAACTATCTTCCATAATGGAACCATTAACAACTGATAAAAAAATCGACAAAATAAACAATGATTCATTCGATGAACAAATAAAGTATATTGGTACAACAGAAATCAAACTAAATGAAGATTTGCAAACATTGAGGTCATAAATTGTAACTGTGCTTTTACTGTTTACTTTGTTGATACAGAGATATTGTTTTTAGCTTTTCATTAAAATCGCCTACATTATACAAATAATCTTGAGTTATACATTTATTAGATTATAGATTTTAGTGCTTTACATTGTAAGTTGAGAGATTTAAATGTGATTTCATAAATTACAAAAAATCCAGCTCGCTAAAAAAGAAAATACCACAAGTAATTTGTTGAGTCAAATTAAGTGGAAATGTGGAAGTGGAGCTTTTGTCATGTGACGACTACTTTTGCTATCAGTGAAAATTATTCAAGTAAAATATATTGAAAAATGCTATTGTTTGAAAATAAAAGTTTTCTTGAAACTGTCATGGCAAACAATGTAAGAAAACTAGTCAGTCAATAATGGACAACAGAAGAATCTGAAACCAGAACAAAACGGTTGTTCAATACTCACTGGTTTTCATTTTTTTTTTCTGATGGCGTTGATTTCTCCGCTTGAGTTAAACTAAGTTAAACATAGTTGATTGTTCAACTTGATTTACAGTTTACAACATTCATATTTCTTTGGTTTGTAACTACTGATAACCATGTGACTGGCATCTAATATAGTTTCTTAAACAACTCATATCAATGATAAGTTAAATACTTATCATGACAGTCGATTAAAAGTATATACAGAAAGTAAGCAATAAGAAAATTAATCTCATTATAAGGTTATGGAGATTGTTGAGTTTCACTGAAGTCATGAACCGAACAATGTTAGACAACCATTACCAGTGACTGGCATCGTGAAGAAATTCTCGGAGTTCTGGTGACAAGCAGTGACCAGTGAAGTTCAACCGTGTCGGGTGTGAGGCGGTTACCAACCTAAGATAATGGATATTAGTGTTGCAGTACCCTGTATTGATTGAAGTTAAACAGCAATATGGTTGGATTTCGGTTCAGTAGTCAAGAAGCTAGGCTTTGGTACGCAAGCCTAAAGGTCTGATGTTCGACTCTCGCTTTAGAGGTCGTGCATGAGCACTGCTCATGAGTTCCCCTAACAGAACGAGATGGATGTCCAGTGTCTTCACGTTTCGAAGGTTTTTTTAACATTGATCGATTCATTATTTCAATGAAACTCAACAATCTCCGCAACCCTATACGGACAAAACAATATGTATAGAAAACCAGTATAAAAACTCGAACAAACAATTATCACTAAAGTCAACTACATCCATATTAGATTTTGGATGATTAGTGAGTTGATATGAAACTAGTTATGTAAAACGAAAAAATATTTTTGCAATGAAACAGTTTATTAATGTTATTTCAAAGTTATCGTCTATGATTTTCAGAAAAGTAGAATAACCTACGGTGATATATTATTTTACTCTGTTCTTTGTTATTTATCTGCTGTATCTGTTTACTTTTATTGTGAAATTCTCTAGAACTTTAAACATTAAAACATTTAATTTTAAAAGCATATTGTTTTGTACCTTTTCTTAAAGATCCAAATACGAACATACATTATTTCAATATGAAGAATCCATAAATCAGAAAAATAAAGAATTGCATCGTTTAAAACAACTAATTCAAGCTAGAAATCGTTTATGTCAATTAGTTTTCGATTGTAAGACTGCTTTTTGGGAAGCCTATGAAGTAAGTTCACTTTATTTAATTCAAGTTATGCAATTGGAACGAATTTACAGACCATCATTTATATGTTTTTACATATTCATTCCGTTTTTGTTTTTGTTGTTATTGTTGCTTGTTTATTTTATATAGATGTTAAAACCGGAAAATGCTACAAAACTGAATTTAACTGAACGAATTCAACGTCATGATCATTTACTGACTGCATTCTTTATCTTACTTTATACATGTGATCAGCTTATTTCACGTATTACTCCATATCAAATTGGCGATTTTCGTTTAAGTAAAATAACTAAGAGTATGCCTTCATTATCGATAAAGCAATCATCACATGGTAATAAGATTTTATTTAGTGATTCTCTAAATACCTTTTCAAGAACTTCACTAGTTAAAAGTGATATTCAAATTAGAGAGTTATCTTCAAAAGATAATGAATCCAACAGATCACTATCAGATTCATGTGGAAAAGATTAGTAAGTTTTTGATTTAGTAATTTTTTTTCATTTTAAAAATTGTTAAAAAATAGTATGTAAAAGTTTTTATGTATGTAAGTTAAACAATAGTTATCTGGGACTGAAGAGCTGCATGTGTAACTGTATCTCAAACGTAGCACCTTTCCATTTGAAATGACAACTCACACCATCCATGAAATATTGAGTCTAGATAGCCACTAGCCTATACAATGAGTTCAAATTTTGCTTGTAAGTGTTTTTATCTTCAATATTATAGGCATTTGATAGACTTAGAAAACACACAATTCCTGTAAATAACTAGAAAAAAGATATTTGAAGCTATTATTAATTTATTGTTTCATCTATTATTTACTAGTTAATAGTAATAAAATAATTTTATGTAACAGAAAACCTTAAAAAATCCGATTTTAACGTGACAGCTAAGAAATAAGAACATAATGTCTTAATTTGACAAGTTAGTAATTGGTTACAAAAAACCATGTGCTCTACAATGATTTGTTTGATGCAACTTTAAATGATGTTCATTTTCGATGTTCAATACTATGCTTATAAGTGTGTCGCTTCGGTAAGAAGAAATGGCATTTTCTTAACCAATAATTTAGTCTTCTGATTTCTGTCCGTTCCAAAGTATAGCATGATTAATTATGTATTCATTACTTGACTGCATGTATAGACACACAATATTCACGAACTGATTGAAGCTTGGCTTGTACACTACTATCCGCTCAGCGGTCTAGAGGTTAGGAATACTCACGCATGGCTTGAGGTCCTGGGTTAAATTTCTTATTGGAAGGTTATAGATGCACACTACTGGGGAGTCCCATATTGGGACTAAATAGGCGTTCAGTGCCTCTAGGCTTTTAATGATGGTCCAACTTTGATCGACTCGTGATCTAAATGAAATTCAACATTGCCCACAAGCCTATACTAATAAATATTGCTTTTCCGCTCCGAAAGTTGAGGTTTATGATAACTATTTCATAAAGGAAATCTTGTAATCTGTAGATTTGGGACAAGATCAAACACTCAAACTTCTACGACACCTAACCTTTACATGAAAACGTTTCAACTCGGCAAAGAAAACATGCACAGTGTTATCATCATACAAAAACGTAAAATCCACAGTGTCGTTCTCAGATTGATTCGTGATTATACAGAGTGTACTTGTTGGTAGTGTGTTAGCTAAGTTCCTGCTGCATCAAACATTTGATATACTATATATCATTTTAAATGTGATAGTATCACCTAAGGATCTTAAATCTATCGATCATCTAGTCAACTTCATGGAGTTTAAGAATCATTGACGCTTATTAACTAGGAATTTAGGAGTAGGATAGAACTGTCGTGAGATACCACTCAGTTAGCTGTTTGAACGAAAATATCAAGTTGAAAATACTTTTTGTTGGAATCAATGTTCAACTATAAGTTAGCACGAAATAAATATGCATGAGAAACAAATATTTTTCTACAAGAGATATGTTTCAATAATTTGAGTAGAATACTTTTTTATGAGTTTTAATTTTTCTACTTCGCAATCGTACTATTGGTGAGTATTTGTGATTTCCCGATGTTAATATTCAGGACTTTTATTTATCAATTTCTGTTGCCACTCCAAATCCTGATCGGATTGACTTTATATAGCATCATGTCACAAGTACTGGGTATGAGTTTCATTATGAGCATTATCGCTGTTGACACCCTTACCTTACCTTAAATATATATCGATCACAGATTCTAGGTATTTGATTACTTATGACATCAATAAATACCAGCTATAATCAATTCCTAATGAAGATAGTGGTGGTATACAGTTCCTATCTTTAAAATTCTTGAAACAATCGGAATGATTCATTTGTTAAGTAGATTTTCCTAAACTCGTTATAATAATAAGAATAATCAAAAGGTGGAGTGCATATCACTTTCAAGTAAATAACAAGCAAATGCGGGGATGAAAATGTCCTGTTCTAATAGTTTCAAAGTCCGCGAATTGGATTTGCAGATGAACCATATTCTTTTCTGTTCTTTCCGAATTTCTCCTTTGTAATGTACTTGTAGAAGAGCAGAAACACATAGGAGAGTAACATAACTTCAAGGTGGACACCACTTTTGACCGTCTCAAACAGTTATTTGTTCGAAGAAGTGCCACTTGTAGGTCCATGATCCAGTCTTTAAACTGCAGGTGGCAGAATAAAACCGGAGGTTAGTGGATGTTGATGTGAAGTTTCATTTTCTGGCTGTAGATTGTGCTCGGTCACGATAGGTGGGGAGTTTTTTAGGTTCAGTGAAACGTCATCGGGTCCAAACTAAATCATATGACATGTCGGTCAGTGAAGGTTGAAAAGTTTGCTGACCCTTCTCGAAGCCAAAGATAACCGACGCCCATCAGAGAATTTCATGCCATGGACTGGCGTGTGCTAAAATAGCATCACCGCCTGGGACTTCTGTTAGCTAGTAATAATAATGAATGCTATTGCCCATTGAGAGTATTTCTTCAAGCCAGTCGCCTGGGTATCACAATGTTATGATCCAGTTTACATTATCAACCATGAGGCATAATATCGATGTAAGCTAGGAGTCACACCATTCCCGTCTTACTCGACACAGATCACCTACGTTGGTGATATATAGACTAGTTCAGCGGCCTGATTATTTTAGTTTCAATACATCCTCTAGTTTAAAATCATTCTTCCCAACTACTTCATCACTTAAGAAACTAAGTTGTAGAAAGACAGATGTTTTTTCATAAAACACATCATTCTTGTCTCTATATACTTAATGATGATTTTTTGCTGGTTACGATTTTCTTACTGGTCGGCGACCTATGCTCCGTTGGGGGTGACAGGCGTAAGTAAGTAAGATTATTTTACACAACATTCAACTGTGGTTAATTCATCTTCATTATTTAAGTGGGAGGGTAACTCTTGAATACATTTTTATGGGGTTTCAACCAAACATGTTTTTAAAGCTCATCCTACAGCAACTTCTGAAGTTATAATAAGTCCTGCTCTATATCTTTTCAACAAATGAATCTTTGAATTCGATAATTTGATTGTGTTTATTGCCTCACTTTCAAGTCTTATATGTTAGTGTGCTTTGTTAAGAGACGTGAGAAATATGTCAATAAATATTGTAGACAACAAATGTACAGCCAACATACCTGTTGTAAAATAATATCGTATCAGTTATTCAGTCAATAATCATCCGTTCTTAGTAAAGCTAATTCGTGATATCAGATAGAATTTGATACTAGATATAGTGATTTCATATACTGATCCAACTTATCAATGAGTCACGTTGTTAAACTTCCTAAATTTCTTTTATTTATTTGGATGAACAACAGAAGAAAAAAAAAGTGGAAGCATGAAATTCATTTTGTTCAGTTACCATTGCTTTTGTATGTACACTGAAAGATAATCTTGTCGATTATCTACTGTTGTGTTTAGCATTTCAATTTGAAGACATACAATTATAGTGCTAATTTATTGTATTCATCATATTCAGAATTTAATCTAAGCAAACCTTGTTAGACCGTAATCATTTTTATGGTTTCGTTCTCTAAATCAGGTGATTATTTTGAACAACATCATTACAAATCTCCGATAAAAGTGGGATATTCGAATTTCTTCATATGTAACTGACAGCTTGCCCTGCTGAAACTGACTTGAGTGACTATTGTTGAGCCTTAACTCGTCGTTGTCCGTATATTTATTCCAATTATCTCTTTCTTTTGTCTGATTGTCAGTTCTATATTTATCCATGATTGTCTTGAATGATCTTCACATTATTTCTATCCAAAATTCCAAAATTTTCCACGCTTAGTGTTTGCCCACAACTGTCCATGTACACTGATGTGAGAAACGAAACATCATGATGTTTGACTGCTTAACTGGTTTTAATGCAAGCGAAGATAGAACGGGCGCCCACTTTTTCCGATGTTGTGTTTCTAGCAGAAATACGAAGAAAGTCAGCAGAATTTTATAAACTTGGAACTTAAGCAAACCAGTAACCTATAAACCTATCGAAATCAGTCTAGTTTTATCAATCAATTAGACGAAAGGAAGAGATAATCAAAATAAATATACTGACAAAGGCTTGTTAAAAGTCAACACTAAATTCATACTTATTAGTCTTTTACAAGCCAATCAGGTATTGTTCAGATGAAAATCACCTAAAAATAATGAAGAAAGGTTTTGATTGAAGTTTGTGGCTTATGATTAATTTCAAGATCAAGTGATGGTCGATAATCATTATCATCTATAAATAACAGCTTCTTGATGTAGGTCAGATGTTTAGCTTGGGATGATGAAGAATAATTTTATTGAATTGGTGAACCTGAATCAGTGATGGTTTACGAGTTAAAAATACTTGAACTTCAAGCTTTCTCACTTACTTCATTCAAACTAGGTTAGCCTTCATAACAAAAGAGGAAACTCAAAATCAATTATATAAACCTTTACTTGGTAGGTGGGTTACACTCATTAAAGTTTGAATACTCTACTCTATTTATTTTCATGAGACCAGATAAACTGTGATTGGTTATTTTGTATACGTCAATCACCTATATGATTTTTTTAAATTGATTATTTGTTCATTCAGCAATTCAATGTTGGACCTCCCATTAGCATCTGAATTCGGTTTAGAACCAATAGACGATACAAAGCAAAACCATTCCATTACTAATTTACTGAAAGAATTATCAAAATGTTCCCGTCAATCAGTAAGACGAACTAACACACCAGTTACATATTCGATTGCTGTACAAACGGACTTTGAAAGTATTAAACAATCGTCAAATTTATGCAAACAGAAGAATTTAAACAAAACTTGTCTTATTCGAAGTAATCGTGGGATTTTACAACTACCACTAATTAATTCAACAATTCTAGCACCAAAAGAAGTTTATAGTGAACTGTATAGATTCAATATACCACTAACTTATAAACATAAATCACCTATACTACCAAGTTTACACAAATTAGCTAAGATGTAGTTTAGCTTGTAAAAATAACAACTATTGATATATCATTATTGTACTATGGTTTTAGATCATTTAGCTGCCAGAATTTTATTGACTTCTTTTATACACTGAACAGGATTTTCGTGTTTTAATGATGTCTCAATGATCTAGGTTTATATATATATTTTTTTAACTTATAACTCTCGAAATTGTGATGTAAAGTAATTAATTACCTTTTGACTGACTCATGGGATTTTATTCACTTGATGTTTCCAAAGATGTAGATAAATGAATTCTCAAAGTTTTGTTTCGATGTTATTTGCTTTCTTAAATTATAAATAAATTATGTTATGACACTTTTACAGTTTTAATTAGCATATATGAACAAAATATGCGCAAAATATGTCTATTACAATCGAATTTGAATAGCATGATTGCTTTTAAAATAGTTGAGCTAATTTTAATAAATGTGAAAGTCAGTTGGTTATTTAAACAGTATTCAGTATATGGACTAACCAATATGATCCTCACATAAGCTACACGAGCCAAACAAGATGACTGCTTACTGAAAGTTGACACAAAAAATTACATTTGACGAAATTCACTGATGAAACAATTATGTAGAGATTACTATGTCACAGCTAATTTTAGATAGTTTTCAATTTGACGGAAATCTTACATTGACCACTGATCTAAGGGTGGATATTCTTTTTTATTATTGTTTCAACAAAGCTATTAGGTCTGGTAAACGCTATCCTTTTCCACACTTCGAGTAGAAGGCAAGTTGAATAGATATACACAATGACGCTTATTCATGATTGATGTGGCCGCATTGGCAAAATACGAGGTCATTAATGTATTTTGAAAATCTAAATAAATGAACAGTTATGATATCCTTAACACAAACTGACTAGTACATTTACATTTGGGTGAATAGATTTTTTCAAATGTAACATAATAACAGAAAACGATGGGCCATTTGGTAAATAGTATTTGAAAATACACGTGGCAGATCTATCATTCAAATAGCACCTGACAAGACACCAAATGTTAAAATGACTATTATGTTTGATTTATTTTTTCTTATGATAAAAAGCATATTCACGAACATTCATCAATTATAGGAAACATATATCTTACTGGATCGAGTGCCTAATCGGTATGAGAATCTGCTTAAAAGTGTTTACGGTAGTAGAAACATTAGGAGTGAAGTACAACAAAATGCAAATCGATGAAACGTGATACAAAAAAAACACGAGTAAATAAGACAACAGATAGAGTGTGAAATCTAACGAGCCATGAAAATGAATGCTTCGACAGCATTTATGGTCGAATACTAATAACCTCTAAATGTCCACCGTTGAAGTCCATCTTTAATAACGATTGACTAAAACCGAGCAAACTGATACGCAGTACACTTGCCCCTTCATTAGAAGACGGGCATCTTAGTATACTTCAAAGATGGTGGGAACCGGCAAAAGCTAAGCGAAATTTTGAATTTGTACTAAGACTTCATCAGACACCAGGATAACATTTCTATGATAACTGATATGATAAACACATTCAGCTACTTCACTCATTATCATTAATTTAGGCGTTCACGCTGAGCAGCCATGAAGAAGCATTTTGTATTTCGAGGCAGAAGAATACATCGCAAACAAACTTGTTTGCTCATTATGATCAGAAGACTTCATTTTGTCAGTGTCTTCACCTGAGTCGATAAACCGATCTCCTTATAAATCATCCATTTAACTGACTTATTGTCTGTGAAGATCTAAGCCTCAGTAACATCTCGGATAGCTCATTACTTGTTATCAGTCAATTAGATTTACATAAGAAGCGTGTGATTTCATTTTCTTGATGTTTTTTTGAGAAGTTAGGCAGTTCTTTAAAAAGGATATGCATATGGTCGTGTGGAATGGTCAGTATACAGATTTCGGTCCCATTGAGCAAAAAAAGAAAATTTCACTCCTTGCCCTCGAGTAGGTGAATATCCTCTAATGACATATCAGAAGACGAACTACTTCAGCTCCGACAAATCAAATATAGTAATCTAATTAGATTTATAGATAGAAACTTAACAACGGAGCCGCTATCTAAAAGATAACTGACGATTCAAAAGTAAACTCTTTATGAATGACAAATTTGAAGTTAGGGCTGCGGAAATCTCAAACTAATTTTAAATTCTCTGGTAAAGAATTTGTTGAGCTAAGGTTTATATTGTCTACTGCAGGAAGCCGACTATTATTAGATGATGTATTAGGGATAAACTTTAGCTTTGAACTACATCGACTGTATCCATAACTTGGGGAAACAGTATACAATAGCTTAAGGAAGAGAATATTTTCTAAGCTCACCTCAGAGCAGTAGCTGGAGTGGCTTTTTAAAAGAGGAATACAGTCAGTCAGTCAGTCAGATGCAACGTAGAACTTCGTACATAAGTACATCAGTTCATGTCGCCATACCACATCAGCACAGAGATGTAATTGTCAATTCAAATCCAATAGTAGAAGAGGTAGTAAAGGTATTAGAAGTAATCGGAGAGGTTAGGATGAGAAGATATTATTCAAGAAGTATGATTCAATGAGAAAAGTTTAGAAAGTCAAAACTAGAGTTGTTGAAGAACCCAGAAGCCTAGAATTTGAAAAAACACAAAGAATATAGGCACCGCCGCCATCGCGAACGATTTTGAGCCATGTCATTCAAGGTCTCTAACCATCGATTATTATCATCTCGCAGACCTCAACCAGGTAGTCGACAATTACCGACATGGCTCAGTCCACTAGTCAATGACTTCATGGATTTCTGCCATGTTTTGGTCTGGCCGCCCCTAACTTTCTTCCAACCTATTCCTACACTACAAAACATAGCTCCTCGAGGCAGTCGGTGGTTGGGCATACGTAACACATGTCCCAACCAACTCAACTGATGAAGTGTCACTATTGCGTCTGTTGATCTGCCATTCTTACCTAGCACCCGATTCCTAATAACAGCGTTGCCCACTCGGGTGTCCCACGATATACGAGCAATGCTTCGAACACACCTATGATCGAAAACCAGTACCCTACGAATATCTTCTACTCTCACTGGCCATGTTTCACAGCCATAAAGTAAGACGGAGCAAACCACTGCACAGTACACTCGTCCTTTAGTCAGCAAACGGATATCTCGCCTACGCCATAAGTGACGCAGGTTGGCAAAAGCCAATCGAGCCTTCTGTATCCGTGCCGAGATTTCTTCAGTCACCAGGCCATCAGCACTGATGAGACTCTCAAGATAAGTGAAGCGGTCTACACGTTCGACCACTTCACTCCCTATCACTAGTTCAGGTGCCGATGAAACCCAATCTTGAAGCAACATTTTGCATTTCGAGGGGTAAAACCGCATCCCGAACATGCTTGGATTGTTGCTTATGGTAGTCAGAAGACTCTGCATTTTGTCAGCGTCTTCACCGAATAGAACTATGTCAACGGTATATTCTAGGTCGATAAGCGAGCCTCCTAGTAAAAGGTCTACTCCTGAAAATTCAGACGAGGATAAGGTTATTTCTAGGAGCATGTCTATGATAAAATTAAACAAGAACGGACAGAGTCGATATCCCTGACGGACACCACTTGAAGTAAAGAATTCCGTTGACAGTTCACCATAAGCTCTCACTCGACCAGTGGTGTTCGAGTAGAGAGCTTGTGTAAGGTTAATGTACTTCTTTGGTACACCTTTCAATGACAGACACTGCCACAGAACCTCACGATCCACTGAGTCAAATGCCGCTTTTAGGTCCAAGAAAACAACTATTGTAGGACGCCTAAATGTGTGTCTGTGTTCCAGGACCTGTCTTAGTGTTAAAATGTGGTCTATACAACCACGTCCAGGTCTGAAATCAGCCTGGTTTTTTCTAATCTCCTCTTCACGAGCTTTCGTTAAGCGTCGAAGTATTACTGAGGCCGATATTTTAGATACTATATTAGTTAGACTTATTCCCCTGTGATTGTCACAAGAAGACTTCTGTCCTTTCTTATAGATTGGGACAATCAGCGATTGAGACCAGTCGGATGGGATTACGTCCAGTTCCCAGATTCTACCTAAGATCTCGGTCAACCTAGTTGCTAAAACTGGACCACCATCCTTAAATATCTCAGGGGTCAGTCTATCAGGACCCGCAGCTCACCCTCGCTTCAGATTTCCTAACGCTTTCTCAACGTCATTAAGACTAGGCGGACTTACGTCGATTTGCCATTCAGGATGACTGGAGATTTCGACCAATTTGGTCTCTCGTGCTGTTACGGGTATGAGGGCGGTGGTCACTTCCCGGCTGCCCACACCGTGGAAGGTTGTTTCTTGAGGAACCTGAAAAGGAAAATATATTAGTGTTGGTCTTGGAGACCTGGGTGCGTGACCGCAGAACCCAAGGGACAACTGCTTGAGGCCGGTCACGCACGGCCTTTTTATGAAAGGTATTTAGAGGATTAGCTCCGTTCTTAAAGGCCCTTAGTGGGCACCCTTACCCAAGGAGACGGAAATCTGTGAGGTAGGGTGAGGTATGACATTTTTAGGGCCGACCTTTTCTAACCCTTCCTTCCTTGTGAGAAGGCAGCATCGCTGCAGATGCTGGTTGTCCGAGGGAAACATCTTACTGCTGTCACACCCCTCCATCACAGTCAGCAGTACGACTTCGCCCTCAGACCTTGGGTAGCTGCTTTTAGTCTCGTCGTTCTCCAGTCGATCTACCTGACATGGCAGAACCGACAGGAACTTATGTTCCTGCTAATATAGCTCGGGTGAGTCATCACGATAGGCAAGCCCGACAATTACGTCAAGATAGCAGCTACGGCCGAGAATTTAGGAAGATCTAGATGACTGAAAGCATGTTGCTCCAAAGGAATCATTTTTTAAAATAATCTAAATGATTAGAAGAAATGGATCGGAGGTCGAGTGAAAAGCTAATATACCGCTGAGGCGCTAGTAGTCCTCTGATTTAAAACTGGATATTTGTTGGGATAGCCAGTCGAGAAGAAAGCCACACACATTATGGATTGATGAACTGTTTGATTAATGTTCATGATGAACTATTTGATTAATGATGAACTATATGAATAATGTTCATGAAGAATTATTTGATTTATGTTCAAAATATTTAAACGACATTTATGTAATTGTATAAACACAGCCTTTATACCCATTTCAATTTCTTAGTTTCGTCCTCACTATTATGTTGTAATTTGAAACCGTAGTCAGTTATTATTACTTACTCAACATTATCCATCATTTATTTACCATTTGTTACCATGACATGTACACATCTTATTTTTTCTTTTTATCTGTTATGTGGACAACTTCCTTTCGTAGATAAATCTTGTCCCTTCATTCTTCCCTTACCTGTAGATCATCACCCAATATTCTGTTTAGATTTGAAGTTTCAAATCAGTTTTTAATATGAATAATTTCTATTCTTCTAGACCCATACATTTGTTCAACTACAGCTTTGGTAAACGATATTTTCGAAAAAGTAGTATTCTTTGTTGAATTTTCTCTACTTTTTTATTACCTGAATACTAATGGATGAGCAACAGCCCGGATACTATGATGTCATTAAAATTACTATGTTATGTTATTGATGTGGAGTTAGCTGAGATGAAAGCTATGGAATTATGGTGCAACTTAGAAACTGATTAGAAATCAACGGTCATAAATGTAAAAATAACATGTCACTTGGGTTTACAGGTTGTAAGTGGGTTGCAAAATAATATTAGTTAAAAATACTTTCCGATAGGGTTCAGTAACTTGTTTGAAACTGCTGCAATCTAACGGCCAAGTTCATAATGATTACTGATATATTCAATATGTATTTCATAATATATAGAGAACTTGATTTTGTCAGAAGCCACTTGAGGGAACTGATTGAACGATACGTTCTGTTGTCATATGGACAGCAATATATATTTTCAGAGTTAAATTAACCAAAAAAAAGCGAAAAGATAAACAAAAATGAAAATTACAAGAGAAAGAAACTAAATAATATTTAAATAACGAATGATTCACACAAAAAGTAACAGAAATATTAATAGAAACAATAAAATAGATATGTACGTGTTACAATCAAACATGATTGCAGATTGAATATTATTAGGTATAGTAAAAAAAGCCTAAATAAAAGACAAAGTACCATTGGCGCACATCATACTTTTCGTTGGAAGGGGCCAAGTATCAGGAAAATTACCACCAGAACTGGTAACAAGTGTTGAATAACTACATTGATTTGGGTTTGGTAACAAACCGAAACAGTCATCAAAAATAAATTTTGTGAATTCTGTAACAAGCAGACGATTAGTAGCTTTGAGATGACTGCGATTATTAGTGGACAATAAATTTTGACTAGAAATTTGAGCACAAACCGCACGATTTAATTCCACGTTAAAAATGGGCAAACCTAAACGTAAAGTAATAAAATAAATGGGTTTATGCTCATTCATGATTGTGAGTAACTCATTTTCGACTAAAACAGCTTTTCCAGAAGGATTATATTCACTTTTTTGTTGGTCATGTTGCAAAACAGAATCTGTGTTATCTGATAAAAAGATTTGGTCTTCCGAACTTAGTGCATTCAAATTTTGATCAGGTTCACACTTGTTCGTCGGAGCCAGTACTATGATGTATCCGGAAACATAGGTTAAATTAATAACCTTCATGATGTGCATCATAAATTCAGGTATACAATTGGATGAATTTTGTAGAAATTCCTTGGAAATAGGTAAAGGGATATATCTTTGAGATAAATTTTCCTCGATTTCATAACTTTCAATGGCCTTTCAAGAGAAAAAAGGTTTGGCAATTAAAAGTAATCAATTAAAAAATCTAGAGGACAAGATAATCATTAACAGTGTAACCAGAACCCAATCTAAAATATAGGGAGGCAATATTAAGAAAATTTTAATGGCTACGAAACGACATGTGATAACTAGATATTAGATATCTACTTCACCATTGAAATTTCAACTAATTCACTTAAAGGAAAAGATTATAGTCCTAATTTTAACTTATTTTCAGATGGTATGAAAAAGTTGAGTTTATGGTAACAGGTAGTGGTAGTTGTACAACCTTTACTACCAAAATTTTAATAGCAAATTACAAAAAAACGCCATGAAGTACTTTGCCATCTGTAGTGAATTGATGTACAATGTGCATGATTTCAGATGCTGGCTGACGACGGAATACAAACTAAATTTTTTTATACAACTAAGAGTAGTATTTGTAAATGAGCGTTGTTCACGAAAGTAGTGTCAGATTGTGCTAACTGAATATGCAGAAATTCAGTTACAAGGAACATTAAAAAGCCTTCTTAGTAATAAATCACTGTTTTAAATAAAAATGCTTTAATTTTCCATACACATGAGTGAAACATATCTAAGAATTCCCTGGTTATTTGACTTTATTTCTTATACAAAGAGGTTGTGCTTAGTCATAGAAATATCATGTCTTCCCAATGGTATTGAATTTGAGAGATGTAATCGGAATATATGAAATGTAATATATTTGCTCTTGTACCATCAATAAATGATAACAAAAATAGTAAATAATAGTCAGTTACATTGTATTAATGTTTTAGAACTGGATGCAATAGGTGTCAACAAAATACAGTGACAGGCTTGGTCAACTAAGTCATTATGAGTGAACCAGTTCAACTGTAAGAACACAATTATAGCGGAAAACCATAACGCATCCAGAAAAATATCAAATGATCAAGATACACTGGCGGTTTAAAAGAATTATAATTTAAATGTTTGTTAGACTGTAATATTTTCAAAAAAAAATAAGTCGAGGTGGGTTCTTTGGCAAACTACATAGCCCCTTATAGGACAGAAAAACTTGAACAAGTTTGAACATACTGAAACTACAGGGATCTACTACCTTGATTTAAAGCAATCAGACTTGATGAAAGACATTTACACACTACAGATTTTGTACTGAAAAGGTCTTTTAGGCATTGTTTACATGTGGTGTGATCGTAAAACCTTGTGGTTATGCAGTTGTGAGAGAAAAAAAGTTGGTAAAAATTGTGAACTAGTATAAATAAAGATGGCTACAAATCTCTGATACCAGATGTAATAGGATTGAATTTTAAAAAAGTTAACAAATAAATAAATTACTGATTTAATGTGAAGATTAATACGAAATGTTATGATATAGGTTAATGTATTTCAAAATCAGATTAAAGTGAGAAAAGAACAGATATTATCGATAAAACTCACTTGGATAAGTACAGGTGATGATAGCAGCATATCATTTACTGTAGTTAAAAAATTAACTGAGTCCACCACTACAGCGTCATGACCCCATGCAGTAAGCCAGAAGCATGAGATACCTCGTAAAGCTGATGGAAGATGAGATATCCTAGTACCACATGTTATCAAAAGAGTAGGCAAAACTTTAACACACGCATTCTGTTTTGTCTGGATTGCGTTGCTTGCAATACAAGAAATGTAAAAGCCAAACCATGGAGAATTAGCTTCTGAAATAGGTGGTCCTAAATGTGGTGGCCATTGGGAGTCAAAAGCTTGTTGGTCTTCATAGGTTGAGGGAATAAGGCTTACAATTAAGTTATAGTTTTTGTGCAGGACACGTATTCGTGTTTCGGGTTCTAAGCTTAACAACGAACCGCCTCTAATTAAATCAACACCACAAAGGTCTGTTGAGTCTAATGAAGCCTGATTACGCAAAAAATGGATTGTTTCGCGTAAATTTAGAGCATGCTCACGATAAACTCCGGCTTCGCCTTCCGAAACAGGGGCAAGATGATTTAGTTCAAATAAGAAAGAATTCAGTGAATCATCTGATAATTTCCCGACCTCAAACATTGTAACTGCATGAGGTTTCAAGTTTGATGACAAGTTACCCATCATGAGATAAGCTGTGATGGTCGAATCAAATATCAGTACCAACTTCTTTTGTTGTTGAGAGTGGTCGTCTACACATGAAAAAGAACCCAAGTTTGTGTCGACAACTGGGTTTTCTGCATGTAGTGACATAACGGAATCTTTACTAGATATTGGAATTTTGAAAGACTTCGTACGACTTTCTGGATGTCCAATCCGCTTCTGAGCAAACCCTAACCGACAAAATATAGAAGCAGCTTGTTTTACTGAGTTCACATCGACTTGTAGACACTCGGCTAGTTCACTAACTGATGTATTCTCGTCAGCCGTAACAAAAATCTTGTACAGGAGATTTTCTCTAGTATCTCCACTGATACGATTCATTACGAAGCCCTCAAGTGTAGGAACGCATATCTTATCGTCACAAGATACTGGAATATCAATGTAAACCAAACCACGAAGGTAAAGTCGTTTGAGGATATCTTGATCAAGATCTTTAACCGGAATTCCGGAACTAACTTGATTGGTTTCCTCCAATTCACTTGCTTTTTCAGCGTCTATAAGCTGGTCGATCATCATACGCTCGGAATCCGTAGATGTTTGTATATCAGATAACATAACTGATCCTATACGAACTATATACCAGGATTCAAATACGACTCTATCAATCGGCTGTGATGGTAGAATATCACAAAGAAGTCCCTGAACTTCATTTTCATCAGGGCCTATAGACGACAGGAAACTCTTGTAGGTATTGACAAGTTCAATGTACTGATTTCTTCCAATTCCCAACAGGCGCAAGCAATCTGCTGCAGTAAAATTCGGGAGACAATCATATGACTTTTCGGTTGAAATCAGATCAATAATCATGTGGCGGTAGTAGACAAACTGAGTGATTTGTAAACCACGGACTATTTTGTCTTGTAAGTGGTATGGATATAGAAGATAATGTTTTCTTCCATAATCAACAAGTTTCTCGTAGTATTTCTTTTCACGTTTTATGACCTTAAGTTGAAATTATCTAAATGCTTTGCATACCAATTGTACAATATTTCCAGAATAGCGTAACTGGTTTCGAAAACTGTGTAACAAAATCTGTTCTTCATACTTCTTGGGATCATCATTCAGCTGCATACGCACTTCTGGAGATAAGTCAAACCAGGATAGATTTCTCTCGATGCTTTTCCACAGATCCATTTACAGTTCATTTGTTTATAACATGTACGATGTAAAACTTCCAAGAAACTGCAACCATCGCCAAGCTAAGCGACGCAATACGTCCGACAGAATCTGAAATTATAAAGTAGGAGCTACAATTAGAACGACCGAAGTAAAAAGTAAAACCAGATAAGTGAAATGAAAAACAGCTGGAAAACGATATTTTAACGATACGGACTTTGAGTATGACTTATCTTGTCCTAGATTCGAATCCCATTCCATCCATGTCGGTTTCGGTAACCTGGTAGTGCTAATATCACTCACACCCAATGTATTTAACATCCAAGTATATGCTGAACAAGATAATTTAAGAACAAATAATATTACCGCTTTTAGATCATTAGCAGAACAGTGATAGGAATCGGCAATATTTTTGACTAATTTAGTCAACTGAATAATTCTGCCATATAACCTGACCTAGCTTTTCTTCCTTAAATTATATTTATTCTTAACAGCTCCACTACCCTTTTAATACCACAAGATAGAGTTAGAAGACTACGATTAATGTCTACCCGCGATATTGCGAGTCAAACTACAGTACGCGATAATCGACTAATTTGATGCATGAAATACGAAAAGAAATTTTTTCGAGTATTCTCCGTTTTTTAAAAAGAGCTTAGAGATCACAAAGATATTACCCGAATCACGAGTAATTATGCCGGTCCCGAAACTACTTTGACTGCCAAGACGAGTGGCAAATATTTAAGCATATACTTATGGGATAACCTATAAAATAAAGGGCGATGAAAGCTGAATCAGTAGGAGAGAAAGCTGGGTTATGTTACTCGGAAGTTGTCTGGGTTTATTGCAGATACGAAATCCGAAGCTAGTGCCAAAGATACCTATTAAGATAGGTTATTAATCTAATCTACAATAAGGCGATTTAAATGATGGTTTAACATACTAGGACTACCATTCTTTAGTATTTGTATAATACATACAACTGAGAAAAATTGAAATTATACTTCAAATTTTCTACAAATCAAGCAAGTTAACATCTAAATCAAATTCGAAAAGGAGGAAAGCCAAGATGAATTTAATTTGAAATCATTTGTGTAAAATTACCAGAGATAACCAAATACGTCGATTGAAGTAAAACCAAAATAGAACAAGCAAGCACAACACTTATTTGCTACCTGCTCACAAGTAGCTTTAGGATGAGATCCTATCCAGATTGTTACTCTAGAATCAGCATGCATCAGCATCTTAATTAATGATAGGAATGAAGAAGTTGGCATATCGACCTCTCTACTCATCTTGGAAGTCTCATCAGTCCTGATGAACTAGTATCTTACAAAATGTCGGTGAAGACTCAAAGAGCTCAGGTGGTTTCTTTCAACTCGAATAACCTGTGGCATAGGTGACATAGCCGAAAATCGAGTTTACTGTGAATCAGTTCGCTTTGTTCTAAGTTGTGGCCGTGAAACATGGACATGAATAATAAAGGATATTCGTAGGCTATGACTATTCAATCGTAGGTGTCTTCGATGCATCACCCGTCTATTTTGGAACTACCGAATAAGCAACGCCTGGCTTTGAAATAGGGACTTAGATGAGGACGGTAAATCGATTGATAAGATGGTGTAGTTTCACAAACTATGGTGGTTTGAACATGTGTTGTGTTCATTAACAGCCTGTTTGGTGTAGGTGTACATCGTGAGAAAGCTAGGAGATCAAACCACGACATGGCCCCAGTTCGTGAACTCAATGACTGAGCCATGTTAACATGTGTAGACTGCTTGGCTGAGGTCTATAAGATTATGGTTCAGTCACTTTGTCAATCAAATACAACGTAAAACTTCATACGTACGTACATCAGTTCAAGTTACCATACCACATTAGCACAGAGATGTAACTATCGATCCAAAACAGTGGTAGATGTAGTAGAAGTATTAGTAGTAGTTAAGATTAGTGTTCGAAGAAATTATTTAGGAAGTATAATCCAGTAAGATAGATTTAAAAAGCTACAGACAAATGCGACAAGAAATTCAGATCAGAATTTGAGAAGACAAAGAATGGATGCATTAACGCCAATGTAAACAATTTTGAGCCTTGTCATTCAAACTGCAACAAGTGGTTAGAGATTTCGAATGATACGGCTGAAAATCGTTCGCGATGGCGAAGATGAATCTATAGCCAAAGATTCTAAGCCTATGAATACCTCATAACCTTCACTCATGTTTTCTTGAATCGTATCTATAAAGCATAGGCTTTTCAGACAGACAGACAGACACAACGCAGAACTTCGTACGTACGTACATCAGTCCAGGTTGCCATGCCCCATCAGCACAGAGACGCAACTGTCAGTTCAAATTCAACAGTGATAGCAATAATAGAAGTATTAGCAGTAATGGAGAAGGTTAGGGAGCGAAGATATGATTCGAGAAGTATAATTCAGTAAGATAAATTTAAAAGGAGAAAGATAGAGATTATGAGGAATTCATAAGGTTACAATTTCATAGAACACAAAGAGTGGATGCACCTACGCCATTGCAAACGATCCTGAGACATGTCATTCAAGGTCTCTAACCCTTGATGACTTTCGTCTCGCAGACCCCAAGCCGGTAGCCTACATCTACCAACATGACTCAGTCCACTTGTCAGTGACTTCATGGATTTCTGCCACAATAGCCTTTTCTTCTACCGCTAATACTGTTGTCACATCTACTACTTTATAAGTCGCCCAAGAAATCTCATATTACTGTGCTAATGGGGTATAACAACATGCATCGATGTATACACGTACTGGGCTTTACATTGCATTAGAATCAATCACTTTATAAGAGAACAAAAACTACATGAGGAATAGAGGTGTTAGCTTGAGTAATGTGGTTCTTACAGTGTGACGAATAAAGATCAAATTATGAACTGGAGAAAACCAGGGAAGTTTGAATCTACAATAGCCTGTTCACCAATCCCATTCAGAGATATCTACCGAGGTACTATCATGGCTATATTTTCTGCCCTAACTTCATTTGCCAGCAGTGTTAGCACAACAAGTAAACCGATACGTGTGAATCACAAACTGCAGTTTAAATCAATGCATGAACGATAAACGACAGCAATGTGCCATTATCAAATGAAGAAGCTCATATTGTGGACTTACATTTCCTAAGAATAGCAACAGACAGATATCATTGATCACTGAAGCTTCATATTCAGAGAATCTGGAAAGAAGAACTAGAAACAGGTGGCGTGAAGATTCCAAACTATCTCAGAAAAAAGGGTGCACTCGAATTTTCTTGCTTCAGACAACCTTGAGCAGCCGAAATCAGAGCGGGTAGTCCAATATCCAATATCTTTTTCACGGGCTAGGACAAAACCAATTGATAGTTTTTGCGCTCTTGTTCTTTCGGTACCGATCCAGATGTTTGATCGTCAGTGCTTCAATCGGTTTGGGTCGGTTTAGTATGAAAACGCATTCCTTACCAACCACTTTAGAAAATGGGAGTTCTATCCTGGTCAAAATCAACTCGCTTCTTTCTGCAAAACTTTTAAAAGCTGGAGTAAAAATTGGAAATCTGCATTTAAACAGTATGTGACCGGTCAATTTTTACAGATCCAGTTTTTCTAGTCTACGGGCAATCAAATGTGCTGTATATTTTAACACGAATACTTTTATTTATCATCTCAGCTGTTTGTGATGCCAAATAGAATTTCAGCATTATTTTTGTGCCTTCAACTCACGGTAAATAGCAGTGGTGCATCAAGTAGTTAAGATACGGTTTTCCTCAACCTAACTATTATTTTTTGTCGACGGCTGTTTGGCTGGAGGTTCCCCTATCTGAAAGCATTCAGAAACACATCTAACGAGTTTCAGTAAGTAAGAAAAACATAAATATACCAAGTGTATATAATCTTTACTCACTACATTATATGCCGGAGTAAAAAAGCTTATCACGAACTTAAGAAGTATTCGTCTTCTGTTTTCAGATCCACATTAAATAGTGAGAAATATCCACAAGTAGTTAGCCTTGATCACATGAGTAAGTGATTATGTCTTATAAAATGATTCAGAACGGTCTATGTTCGTGAAATGTGGATCGCAAAGTAGATTATTTGTTAAAGGGAATAATATGAATACAACACCACATAAACGTCCACTTCGGATAATATGGTCATATTTGTTAGAGATATATTTCACAAACAAATTACTCTCATTGATATAGACAATATAAAGTCTAAAATTGCTAAGAATAGGTGTATTGTTAATTATTCTCAAGCTTGATTCTATTAAAATGGTGTGTTTAGTTTGCTGCATCAGAACGTAGCGTCAAAGGTGTTTTATTCGGAAGATCAGATGCTGACTCAACTTTGTTACTGGAGATTTAAGTATGTTTTAATAAATAGTAGATGAAATTCACAACTGAAAATTAATGATACTAAAATTCATGCTTCAAACAATGCTCTGGTATGAAACCAGAGGGTCGGATAAGATATTCTGTCCGACTGTGACTCTGTAAGGCTATTTGGCTCATAGTCTAAGATAAGGATACAGTATACCTTGTTAAAACGAAGTTGACCTTCACAGATGTCGCGTTACATATCAGTAAGAAATTTAAGGTCTCTAGACCGGAAACACAAAGCAGCTATTACTTCATAAGCATGGAAAAGCAAGACTTACCTCAGACTGATACATTATGGAATACAGGATTCCTTTGTAAATGTTAGGACCGACTGGTGTAAAAACCACAGTTACACTGAAATGCTTTTTGTTCTGTTCTGCTTTGCATGAGGTAGAACGATTGTATTTTGCAAAGTTCAAATAGTCTGGCGTCATCTGTGATGTTCCCTGTACTCCATGTTTCTCCTGAGATGTGATTTCAATAGCTCAATCAAAACTTAGAACCAAGATAAACAGCAAGAGTAGATAACTGTCTTTGACACCTATCTTTAAAATATTTAGCTTGTTGATCTCAAAGTTCAGCTTCTTCTGAACTTCATTTCGGTTCCCTAAAACTCTGTTTAAGACTGCATGTTGATAATAATGGTGTGATGGTTGTATATTTATCAAACAGAGATCTCCGGTTATTATCTGTCTTAATGAGGCATCCAACTTTCCAGTCTCTTGGTATTCGCGTAAGGATGAAACCTAATTCGTTCTTGTATAATTACTTACGGTTGTCACTGATTATGAGGCATGGAATTTCGACCATCAATCTTCAGTCATTTCTGTCTTGGGCTCTACTTCTTAGTTCTCAAGTGCTATTCAATATGATGATATTTACTTTGACTTATCAGCGAAATTTGTTCCTCCGTCTTCCTCTCTGTTTGGGGCCCTAGGATCCCGTGTGAGAGCTCGTCTTACCACACCGTTTCGGTAATTACACAAAGAGAATCCGATCGACGTCCAGAGTTTTTTATAAATTCTTCCTCATCTGGATGCCTGATTAATCATCTCCCACAGTAGATTGTTGCCGATGTTTCCTGTTCATTGGAGCTTCAAATTCGTGCGTTTGATTTTGTAGTGTGTATCACAATTTCAAGACTACATGGCCCATCCTGACTCTTGGTCAAACTAAAGCACCAGTTATCATTCACATAACTTTTGACCTTGGTAAACTTTCGCTTATAATCCTGACCGTTTGAACTTTAGAGTGCCTTGCGCACTCCGTTCATCAAAAGTCTCACTTATTCGCGTCAAAATATAAGTACTTAGTCATTGATCGACCTAGTCTACTCTCCTCCACTTCAATTTTCTTTCACTTTTCATTATGTAGCATGTTTACTTACCGGGCCACAAAAGCTGCATCTTTGAGCGGCATTTTTCGCAGATCTCCAAGCGTCCGCTTCACATATCAGAAATATTTTGATACTTATATCGACAATTCTGACTTCAGTGTTGGGGAATGGTTGTTTTGACTCCTAGATTTTCGTCACTTGCAGAAATGCTGTTCTTGCTTTGATAGTCTATGTTTTTACGCCTACTTCAAATCAAGCTTGTTTATCAGTTAAGCTGCACACATATGTAAAGGTCTCGAAACCTCCCGAAGCTTCTCAATCGAAAATAATTTTATTGCAGTATTCTATGTAGCATCTAGTGATCTCGCTTTCTCTCTCATGCATGTTGAGACCTACTGCTGCTACAGTGATCGTCATTTCCTGGAATCGCTGCTGGGTGCGACAGAAGGGCTAGATCATCTCCGAAGTTCCAACAGTCTGACTGCATTCTAACCGTCTACTGAATACCTTGCTTCCCCTGAGATGTTAATGTCTTCTTAATCTGGTCGACTATCTAGAGAAAGATTAAGCGCGAGCTTACGTAGCCTTGACTTACATTGGTATTCACTTGGAATGAGTTTGTGAGCTGCTCTTTTTCGCAGTTTAATCCATCTTAAATATTGTTTGTGATGGTGACTCTCTTCGCAGGTACAACATAGTGTCACAGAAGGCTCCAAAGTGTCACACTGCTCATGTTATCAAATGCTCTCTCGTAGTCAAAGAAGCTGATGTACAGTTGTGAGATCCATCCAGCTGATCGTGCCACATTGTTCGTAGCGTCGCGATTTTGTCAGTACGCGATTAGTCGTTTCTGAATCTAGCCTGTTAATTTCAAATTTGGTGATGTACAGGATCGTCCATTGTGTTTCGCAACACTCTGTCGAAGACGTTTCTCTGTATTGATAATGGAGTGTTTTGTCATACGCTCTGAGATCTCCACTCTTTGGTATATTGACCAGGTGTCATTCTTTCCGGTGTGTTGGTATTTGCTTTGATGTTTTCACGCACCTTTTTCTCCTGTCATTGGTAGACTGGCCACGTTTAGCTTTATTAGTTCTAATGCTCCTCTTTAGTCACTTGTTTGCATCTGTATATTCAGTTTGGGCCTTGGATTTCTCTGCTTCTGTTCGACATCTATTCCCTACCGTTTTTTCTTTCTTCCTTTCTTGAATCTTACTCAGAATATCAACAGAGATACATTACATATATTTATGTTTCTAATGACTCAAAACCTCATGTCATGCTTGAGTTAATATTTCTCCAGTCCCTTCCATTTTTCTACCTGGCAGTTTCCTCCTCTTGAGTAGGTCGTGAAAGGCTTGAAAGTGTTTGCTGACAACTATCTTGAATTTCTCGTATTTGCCAAAGTACTGAAGAAAGTTTCAATTTCATCTTTGATCTGAAGTTGCGTCAGCTCCTTTCATTCATCATTCATGGTCCTTCTGAAATTTTTATTCATGTAGCACGATCGACCCGGTTTTGCCCAGTGTAATCCAATGGAATGTATGTACTCTATGGGAATATTGCGCCAACCATAACAATTTCGTTTAAGGTAGAGAGATTAGCAAAACTCTAGCCGTTTTTGTTCATTTCTTTTATTCCTTTTCGTCTCATGATATCAATCATATCGAGTGTTTTCCATTCCAACCTTGACTCAGGTCTTCCGTCAAGACTTTCAGAGCCTACGACCGCCTGAAGACTCTAATAAAGCTGCTTATTATCATCTTTGATGTCATTCTTACAAGCTCATAGCACCTGATGGCGTTCATTGTAATCCCCCTATTTATGATGAAGGTTGTTTCGGTGATCATCAGTCTACAAGATTGGCGTCCTGTTAGTGGTTTTGTGCTTCTTTGGGGAGGATTTATTCAAACCTTTGCGTGAATGAGACATACAATACAATACAATGATACAATAACATCTTTTCTGAGGTCTGTCTATTCTGTCCAGCTTGAATAACTTATTCTAAAGTTGCAGTTTTCCGTTACGTCGGCCCCTTCAGTGATTCTGCTATTCTCACTTTGTGCCCAAATATTCCTAATACCCTTGATATAATTTGCTTTGTTTGTTAGATGATGACATGACATTCGATGGAACTCGTCTTGAACCAATAGCCTACAGGTTCATGCTAAAAAGATCTTATCTGTTATGCTCGTCAACAGATATACTTGAAACTGTTACGAGTTAGCCGGTAAACGGAGCGAGAATCGGTCATCAGGCGAAAGGACAGGCTTCTCTAATCCAAACTTCCAAAGGCCCCACTAAGTAGAGGAAGAAATCTTGACAAAATGTAGAAAATATAGGGCTAATAAGCTTACGAATCGAGTTTATTTATACTTGACAGAAACGCCGTTGGGAGAGCCATAAAAACAGCGTGCTGAAATACACACCAGCCAATGAAATTCGAGGATTTTCCAGGTGGAAAATGTAATCTGAAGGCCAGCTGATCAGCCTATGTGCGAATGCATAAAGTCCAAAATTAGGACCTTTATCAAGTGAGTTTTGGGTTTCTAACGTCTCCAACACATTCACTCCCAGAGTGTTATCCACATAGTT